AGGTCTGCTCTTCCTCCCACCCCCGCCATTGGCTTCTTGCTCCATTTCTAACTTGTTCAGAGCCTCTTAGGGAGTGTGTTAGAGAGACGGAGAGAGGGAGGTGAGTCAGAGTGTCTGGCTGGGTTGTGTAAAACCTGCAGTGAAAGCTACCCCACCCCCGCTAGGCAGTGGTGTTAGGGCTTTCCTTTGTGTTAGTGCTTCTTTTGAGGAATTTTATGCGTCTTCCAAAACTAAAAAGTATCATGGAAGTGGTATACTTTTTTTTTTTTCTTTTCCAAGAATAGTGCAGTCTGATGCATGTATTGTCACTTGAATTGTTCTACTTAAAGATATTTTTAGCTTAATTATGATGCTTATTGCATTTGAACAGATATCTGGAAACATGGCTACTGAACATGTTAATGGGAATGGTACTGAAGAGCCCATGGATACTTCTGCTGCAGTTACCCATTCTGAGCATTTCCAGACATTGCTTGATGCTGGTTTACCACAGAAAGTTGCTGAAAAACTAGATGAAATTTACGTTGCAGGTAAGATGTAAAACTTGCAAAACCACACTTACAATATTTTATTGGATTCTGCTGTCTTTGGGCTAAAATAGCAACTTTTTGTGGTTTCCAAAAGTATGGGAACTGCAGTCTTACCAAAATCTGTGGGATGTTTTCCATTCAGTGCTTTAATTTGTAGTATTTTTCAGAGAAAAGTTTTGGGCCAGGCCACCTGGGCTAAAGGGTGGGAAGGACAAAGAGTATGCAGGTGACCATAGCAACAGCTGGAGTAGGCAACAGATGATTTTTAGGAGGAGTAGGTGATGTGGTGTTTGTGCATTTTTTACAGTAGTTGTAGGTAACTCTAAGCAACTGAAGCCTTGGTATTCATCTTCTCATGTAAATAGTACTCGTGAAATAGTATTTGAGCTCGTGGATGCAAAGGTTATTGTTCAGTTCCCTCAGATGTGGTAATAGCTAGCATTTTTAAAGCTTGATTTTTGGATTGTGGTGGTCAATTTTAGTGCTGCAGTTTGTTTGGCTTTATAGTTTTCTTAAAATGTACCAAGGTACCAGTGCTAGGTAAGCTAAGTCAGCTTTTGATATAGATCCTTTTGAATTCAGCTTCAGGATATTGGAAATAACCTTGGCCCATGTAACCATTTGGGTTTCACTGAAGTCAAACAAATCCATAAGTGCAGTAACTGTTACTCTGAATCTTAACTTTTGACACTTCTGATGAAAAAAAGGTTAAAATACACTTAAATATTTACCTTTACCTTTAAGAGGGCTAAGTGATTTCTTAGGTTATTAGTAACTTACATTAATCAGTGATTGATTTAGGGGTCACTGAAATGCGTTAGATGGGTTAAACGTGGTTAAATAAAGATTGCTTCCCAAATGTAATTAGTAATTTTTTTCTTTTCTCTAGGGCTAGTTGCACATAGTGATCTAGATGAAAGAGCTATTGAAGCTTTAAAGGAATTTAATGAAGAAGGTGCATTGGCAGTGCTTCAGCAGTTTAAAGACAGTGATCTCTCACACGTTCAGGTAATGTTAAGCAATTTAGAATAATTGTTGAGGGATAAACTGCTAGTTGATTGGCAAGAGGTTTCCTTAAGTCTCTAAAGTGATCCATATGTGATGTGTAAAAAGGGGTGCTGTATTAGTTTAAGGTAAAATTATATTCTGGCTCGTCATGTTTTCAGAACTGAAGATTAATATATCTTTTGCAGAACAAAAGTGCCTTTTTATGTGGAGTCATGAAGACATACAGGCAGAGAGAAAAACAGGGGACCAAGGTGGCAGATTCTAGCAAAGGACCAGATGAGGCAAAAATTAAGGTATGTGCCTAAAAGATAAAAGTTATGCAGTATATCTGTTTTTTCCAAAGCTGTTGTGACAGATGCCTTGTTTTTTTTGGAACTGTGCTTTTCTTAAAAAGGCTGGTTTAGATTATTGGTCATTATTTGAAAGCTGTCACTTGGATTTTTATCTTATACTTCATCCTCTTCAAGAGGAAACTTAATATACTATTAATTACTGAACTGAACGGAATGTATATAAAAGTGGAAAAGGTTTGACAGTTTGCTTTATGTCTAGTTGAGGCAGTTCTACTATTTCATAGTTAAAAGTTTTCAGAAGCTTGTCAGCATATGTCTTGGAGTTCAGAATGCATAACTGCAGCTACTAGTGGTTGGTTTTGTTTCTTTTTTTTTTGTTTACTTCAGTTCAGGTTTAAAGCAACTCTGCAATAGGGAGGAGATGCCACGTGTGTCTGAAAAGACAGATTGTAATGGGTTTAGGATTTAGCCCACTTCTTATGGCATAATCACTGTTCTCATAAACTATACCCCAAACTGTCTTCATAATGGACATGTTATTTCTTGGACCAAGTCTTCTGCTAGCAAGAGACTCCTGTCTCAAGAGTTAGGCATAATATGATTTATTTTAAACTTCTGTGACGAGTAACTTTACCAAAGGAAAACCATCTAAGCATGCTTAGTTGATGTCTTAAAAAGCGAGAGAATCTTTCATCTTTAACTTTCATGTGTAAACTGCAAAATTAATGTGTTATATATTGCAAATAATTGTGTAGCTTGCGAAACTAGAAAATCTTTTTTCTCCTGACTTTGAGGCTGGGTTGACATTAATTATAAATTCAAAAACCTGATACAGTTTTTGTCAGTACCACATAAAACAACAACAGTATGAAGACTCAGTTAACTAACTTAGAGTAGCATAGCTTTTACTGCTGATGGCTATGGCATTTAAAATAACTTTGCAATTTTCCAGTGGTGAAATTACTAACTCTTGACTATAATTAGGTTTGTTTAATGTGCTGTTTCTTTGTGTGTACAGTTGATTTGTCTTTCTACAACATTATTAAGAAAGACTAATTTCAGAGGAGTTTCTCATTATGTATTTGCATACTAAATTTATCTAACATTTCAAATTGGTAGTATATCTGTAACTGTATGCAGTGATTCTAGCATATAATCTCTCCCTAGCATAGGATCAGTTGTGCTGGGGTGCTCTATGTGCCCACAAGGAGTTTGAGGAGGGAAGGAGAGGAAAAAGGAAGTAGTACTACCACTTCAGTGGTGGGATACCTGAAGCAGTCAGTACAGTGTTCCAGGGGTGTAATCACTTAAACATGTGTTCTTTAACATCACACTTATGAGTAATCTCATTAAGTGAAGGGAACTCCTGTGCATAAATGTTTGCAGGATTGGACATGCCAAAACAAGAAGTGGCTCAGACTGTGATCTTTGTAATTAAAGGGAAGCTCACTATTCTGTTGGCTCTTTTTTTGCATGAAAATGAAGGAATTGGGAAAACTATGTGAATCTCTGATTTTCTATGAGTGTTTCTTTACCTGATAGTTCTAATAATTGTTTTGCAAGTTTCTTGTTGAAGTACTAGCAGTAGGCTCGTTTGCCTATGGGAGTTTCAAAGCAGTACATTTTAGGAGGTATTATAAGCATGTCTGTGAATGAAGTGCATCTAAACTAGCTCAGTTTGTACATGATTTTAAAATTTTAAGTTTCTTACTTGAAGGCACTCTTGGAGAGAACCGGTTACACTCTTGATGTGACTACTGGACAGAGAAAGTATGGTGGTCCCCCTCCAGAGTCTGTATATTCAGGACAACAACCTTCTGTTGGTACAGAGGTAAGGAAATGTTTATGTCCTTATATTCTTATTCATTGGAAGTATTTTTTTTATAAACAATGCTCTGTATGTCTGTTGTAGATATTTGTGGGCAAGATTCCAAGAGACTTGTTTGAAGATGAACTTGTTCCGTTATTTGAGAAAGCTGGCCCTATATGGGATCTCCGCTTAATGATGGATCCACTAACTGGTCTAAATAGAGGATATGCTTTTGTCACTTTTTGTACTAAAGAGGCAGCTCAGGAAGCTGTTAAACTGGTAAGTTTTCTTACTTGGATTTTTTTTTTTTTAAGAAAAAAAGCTTATAAGCAGTTGCCCTGATCCTAATGCTTAAGATGAAACTGTCATTTGTTAGATTATTTCATAAATATCCACAAACTTTTTTTTTATTTTTAAAATATTTTGACATTGTGTATAAATTTTTACTGGCTGTATTAGTGATGGGCAAGGGACACCTGATGGACAGCTGTTTGGTCCGGTTAGATGAGCCTTTGTTATTAACAAAAGTTGTATTAGCAATAGTGACTTCTGAGCTGGATGAGTTTTGGAGAGAAGAGATGTTTGGCTTGCAAGAGAAGTGTTAGTCAGGTTGTCAGTGATTTCTGCTTTGCTTCTGCACCAGCAGGGGGCCCCGTGCTAGAAAAATGTTTCTGAAGTCACAGAATTTCATAAGATACTTCAGATGAGAAATAATCACTCTTGAGTGTTACGGTCTGTTCTGCTTGCTGCAACTGACTGGAAAAAGTCATAAATCCTGCCAGATTTAAAAAAGATTTCCCCTGTTTTACACAGAGGTGTGAAACAGTTTGGTATAAGGAATGGCTACTCTTAATAAGCTTTCCAGGTTTTATGCGTGAAGTATCCATCACTAAAAAAGAGGGGGGGAAAGAAACACCACCCTGATCCTTGCACTGCTCCTTTGTTTTTTCTAGTTAAGTTTAATTTGAATTCTTTGAGCCGATTGCTACTACATGGGTATGGCCAAGATCAGTGTGCAGGTATGACCCCTCAGGAGTGCTAACCATACTCATTCTGAGGTGTACTGATACCATATTAATATAGTAGGGTTAAAATTTCTGTTTCTTAATAAGGTAGGTGTTAAACCATTAAGGTACCCTATTGACATATTAATAATATGACTGAGTTGGTGCAGATAAATCAAGCTGAAGATGGGAATGTGTTTTGGAAAACTATAGAAATGTCTACAAAAGTGGAAGTACAAAAATATCTGATAACTGCTGTTTAGCTTTTTCAGTAAGAACGGTTGGTGTTCCTGTGTTTAGTCCAAATGCTCTGAGGATAACTGCGTATGCCTCTTTGTACTTGCATTGTCAACCAAGCTATTTATATTCTGTGTGAACTCTTAAGAGTTATGCACATGACTTAGCAAAACGGTGAATCAAGTCAAATGCACTCTCAGAAGCACCTAGTAAACAAACAAAAAGGAATTTTTCTTCAGTTATTTGGATTTTGCTTAAAGGCAGCATGCTCTGAAGTCATTCAGGTTGTGTTTCCATAAAAGTAACATCAGATCCTAGCCTTCCACTGAACAATACAAGGGAAGGACGTACTTGATGTCCCTTCATATCTAATTTTTGATATGCAGGGGGGGGAAAAAAAAGCATTGTGTTCTAGTGTTCAGTTAAATAGCCACTGAGTGTAATAGTTGAAAAGTGTTGAGATTGGTGCGGCAGTTTTTCAGCCTTCATGCTAACCTTAACCTCTTTGAGGGCAGGGTTAGTTTTGAATTGGATCCTGTGGCATTTGTCATCTTTAGAATGGTTCCAACCTGGATAGTGTGGTGTATTATAAGTTTCCCAAGTTGTCTAGGAATGATTTGCAGGGGTACAAGCAAAATATGGCTGTGTAGCTCAGTTGAAAATTTGGCTCTATCGCTTGTATTAGTTACACATGCATGAGAGAGGCTGCTGAAAGACCTCTTAGAAATGCTGAACCCTTGGTCCTAGCCATTTAGCCTAATATTTTAACAGGCAGTGTTCTTTTTGGTACTACCGGTAGTCTTCTGATGTGCACACAACTTCTCAGCTTTCTGGACTCCCCGGAATAGGGCTTCTTTTGTTATTTCCCATCTTCTTCCCAGAGGCTTTTTTTTTTTTTTTCCATTCAGGACTCTGAAGTATAGCAAAAATGGGAATAAAAATGTCTGGATTGCCTATAGGCTTCTGAGCAATAAGAGACAGCTATGAGGTTTTGTCAATACCCAAACTGCAGCAGAGAATAAACTGACCTGTCTTCAGGCTCCTGCAGTTGGTGTAACATATTTTGCATACAAGTCATACTCGCGTGGCTGTCATATCATCCACAGTCTTTCTAACAACTTAATGTAAAACTGAACTAAAATTTTGTGATATACCCAACGTAATGTTGGCTTATCTTATTCATTAACCAGAAGAAATCTTGCAATTTAAAAGGTTGGAGCCTTGATCTTGTTATGCATGTGCATTTTTAAGCCGCTTAAAAGAGGGAAGAATTCCCTAAATTGTGTTTGAAATACTTTTGGGGCTGTGCTTGAGACAAAAATGGAGTGATGCTGTGGCCTGAGACTGAGAATATTTACAGATGTGAACAGTAGTTAATTTTATGTCTGGTACTTAATCCAGTGTGGTTAACCCTTGCTGGTTAAGTAGAAATGGCATCTCAAATGCTGTTCACACAAGCGCTGACTATCAGAAATACGATTTTTTTTAAGTTTGTTTTATTTTTTTAACCTCAGGCATTTTTTTCCTGTTACAATGTTAGTGTTTACCTTCTGTTTTATACTGTTTTGAGTTAAGAATTGTAACTCCAGTTGTATTCTTTTGCTCACATACACTTCTCCCTCCTATTTCATATGCAGTTGTTAGATTTCAGTTTTTCAAAAGATTTCTGAGTGATTAAGGTTACCGTAGACATGTACAGGATAAATACTTGAGATGAAGCATGTAGGAAAACATACTGAAAACTATAGTAGCATACAGTGTACTTTTGACTAGAGCAAGTGTAAGCTTGATTAAAGTGCAGGTACAGGTGAGTTACACAAATATGTCCCTTAAGCGTTTTACCAGCTGTGCATAGCAGTACAACTTGCCGTTTGCTGCTGGAAATAAGCTAAAATTGCTGGTGAAAGTTTAAGTGGATAAAATGACAAGACAGACCTTATGCATACTTTGACCTGTTTGTGAGTAGGTTCTTATAGAACTTGGCAGAAGAAAATATATATCTCTAATAGTGTCTAGAGGGTAGTAATATCTCTGTTACTAACTTCGGGCATTGATTCAGTGGTAACAGAAGGGAGAAGCAGTATGCTGACATAGCTAATTTGGTAGCCTGACTGTTTTGGCACTTAACCCAGATCATGATTTGGGCCTGTTCATGTCTTATCTCAGTTTACAGATGGTATGCAAACTATTTACCTAAAAAACTCCAACTTTACATTCAAAAGTGCCTAATTCAAGACTGCTTTCTCTGTGTTAAGAGAAACATACAACAATGAAAAGTAGTAGGTAACGTACTGTAGTATGAAAAATCTACTAGAAGCTACTGTGAATGCGGAAATGCAAAATGGTAGAATATTTTAAGTTTTTAAATTATGAAATACTGTTTTGTTGCCATGAGTTGTATGAAAGGCTCTTTTTTGGATTAAATGTGGAGCCAAACAGAAACCATTGGATAATATCTTCTATTATCCATATAGAATAGAATATTTCAGTTGGAAGGGACCTGCAATGATTATCTAGTCCAACTGTGTGACTGCTTCAGAGCTGACCAAAAGTTACAGCATTATTATGAAGGGCATTGTCCAAATGCCTCTTAAACACTGACAGGTTTGGGGCATTGACCACCTCTCTAGGAAGCCTGTTCCAGTATTTGACCACTGTCTTGGTAAAGAAAATGCTTCCTTGTGTAAAGAAATGTTTCCTAGTGTACACTTCAGTTAATGAAGAACCAGTTTGTGTCTTGTTTCCAGAATAATTAGACTGTCAGCTTTTTAAAAGGTGTTTCTTTAAAGGATTTTTTTTTTTAAGCTACTGTAATCTGTCTTTTCATTAATGTGTATAAGTCTGTTAGTGACCGTAAATATAATGTATATGTACGGTCTTCCTGTGCAGCTGTTTCCTACTTCAAAATCAACTATTCCTCTGCCATGTGGGCACCAGATATGGATACAGAAGCCTTTTACTGTATACTACTATGTTTTGAGACATAATTAGTTGGGAAGATGCCACTCCAGATCCTTTTCATGTGTACGGTTCTTTTAGCTCACTTCTGGTACAGTTGTCTAGCTTTGAAAATTTTCAATGATGTAGTTTTTGTTTGCAAGAGATAAATATAAACAAATAAACGTCTTAATTCACTAAAATAGCTGATTTTAGTGCACAAAGCAAGAAGGCGTGTGGGAGAACTTATGCACGAAGGTTTACCACCAAACACAAAATAACTCGTAGAATAAATAACTAGATTAAATTAAATTAAAAAGCTGTCCTACTACTTGTCAATAAGATGTTGACCACAAAATATATTTTCCTAGCTAAAGAACTGTCTGTTGCAGGGCTTCCAGTTGGAAAGGGGTTGATGTACCACCAGTTGACCTCCCTGCTGCTTATTTGGATGATGCATATCTGTGTCTGCATCTCAATGAAAGGCATTTTTTGTCAACAGATGTCTACAGTAATACTTTTTTTTTTTTTCCCTTAAACTGCTGACTTGTTCAGGGTGTCTTCTAAACAATCTGTTATGGGAGGAGCATTTGAACAGAAGTCTTAGGATTTCAAATCAGTAGACAGTTCTTCTTGCTGTTTACTATCTTTACGTGCATAAGCTATGTGCTTTGGAAAGTATTTGCTAATTGCTTTTGCACATTTTGTGGAGAAGACCTGATCACGGCTCCTTCTTTTGTTAACTATGGAACTTTAGAAGGGAATCTGACTTTATTGTAACTCCTGTCTTGGATTATATGCAATTCAAGAATTCATAGATGCAATCTAGAGAGGAACTTGCATTTTTGTTTGCACTGTTGTGAAGGGAGAAGCCTTGACCTTGATGACATGGACATAAGATTTACCTTTCATGTTCTATGTGAAAAACTCTCTAAAGAAACATGTATCAAGACAGAGGCTTGAACAAGAAAGGAATGATAATTGTTGGCTGAAATTTTTGAGATATCTTGGAGGACATGGGTATACTTGAGAACAGTTGAATATTCATCATAAGAATGCGTTAAACTCCAAATAATTTAATATAATACTGAATACTGTGTTTGCAAAAGTAAAATATTTGGTATGCTGCTGTTGGAGGGGAGTGAAAATTATCTGTAGCTGATGACTGTCCAATTATTTTTCTTTCAGTACAACAACCATGAAATTCGTTCTGGAAAACACATTGGTGTATGCATCTCTGTTGCCAATAATAGGCTTTTTGTTGGTTCTATTCCTAAGAGTAAAACCAAGGAGCAAATTGTTGAAGAATTTAGCAAAGTAACAGGTAAGTCAGTAACTGTGTTTTGTAGAGCTGGAGAGATGTCAAACATGATCAGTGATAAACCCTCTTCACCATCTTTTGGTTTATGGTTGAATGATGATGATGATTTCAAATGAAGACCGCTTAGCATTTCTCTTGACTTTTAAGTGATTTTTTTTTTTTTTTTAACTGTTGTGCTGAGGGCTGAAACATCAGAGTAGATGTGTGGTTCCAAGTTTTAACTAGAGAATAAGTGTGTCACATTTAAAAAAGCCATTCGAAGAAATAGATGATTTAATTATTTCAATACTAATGGGTGTTTTAAAACTTTTCAAGACAAAACTGAAGCAGGTTGGAGAACATAACTAGTTCTGTGCTTCAGAATTCTTCAGTGATTTGATAAGGATCTCTTCTTGATAACGGTGTATAAACTGGGGCAAAAGTAACACTTAAGGGATTTCTCTGGTACTGAATGATATACTTTAGGTTCCTTGAAGCAACACTGAAACTTTTCAGATGTCTTAAAATCATGCAAGTTTGACTTCTTGTTGTTTAGACGTCCATGGAAACAACACATGCTGATAGGTGGTGCGACTTAAGGGTTTGAGAAGAGAACTGAGAAAGCACAACTTTTCGATGCCCTTACCTCTTCTCCATTCAGTTAGAGGAAAGGTACTCTTCCATAGCTACTAAGCTTTCTTCACTTAATAATAAGGAACCTAGGTCAGGATAGTCTTAATTTCTCTCTTTTAAAATGTTGGCCCTGAATGTACGGAAATTTTAGTATGTATGCAGTCTCAAAAGTCTAGTGTGTTTGTCTTTTGGAACCACTTGTCAGATGCAAACTTACCAGAAAGATAATCCCTACTTTATAATACAAATTCTTGCATCAAAGCCATAACAAATAAATATTTTTCTTAATTTCAGAGGGTCTTACAGATGTCATATTGTATCATCAACCTGATGACAAGAAAAAGAACCGGGGTTTCTGTTTCCTTGAATACGAAGATCACAAAACTGCTGCTCAGGCCAGACGTAGGTTAATGAGTGGCAAAGTGAAAGTTTGGGGAAACGTTGTTACGGTTGAATGGGCTGACCCTATAGAAGACCCAGATCCTGAAGTCATGGCAAAGGTAATAAAGCTGTAAGGGAACCATAATACATTTAAAGTGCCTCATTCAAAAGGAAGTACTTCCTGACATAAGCCTAAGTTTAAATAGCATCTTTCAGCCTTTCTGACAGAGATGTCGTGAGATGGTAAAAGTATGAATACAGTCTAGAATTGATGAGAATTTAAAAACTCTATTGACTGATGTTATTTTGTGCTCCCAAGGCTGAATGTTGAACACAATTTTTGCCAAAATGACACATAGGCCTGATGTAGTTAATTTCTCATCTGGAAGTGGTGGTGATGACTCCAAAAGTTGAAATAGTTTTGTAGCTTAATATTTGGAGGGACAGAAATCTAGATATGATCACAGAACAAGCCTTAATTCTTTTTAACCCTGGAACTATATCTTTATCGCTTCAGAACTGGAACGTGTCAGTAAGATGCATAAACGTATTTTCAAAGTTGCCTTTAGCAGTTACTTCTTAGAAGTTAGGCAGTTAGTTTGTATTTGGAACTTTGTATCTTTGGGTTTTGGGGGGGGTTAATTCCTTCAAATATTAAGACTAGTAATAGTTTAGTTTTTTAATATTTCACTAAAACTGAAGTCTGAACTGTTACCATCTTCAAGTATGTTCTAGCAGTTGTTTTATATATTTGTGATGTGTTGCCAGAAACGAATTACCTGATGTTTGGGTTTTTTTTGTCAGATAATGCCCAACCCTGTCTTTTTTCAGTTATGTTGTGTAGCTGAGTTGTTTAATGGAAACTCCTAGCTAGCCCATATCCTTATCTCTTTCTCTTTGCTTGCTTTTCGTCTGTGCTTTTACTCTCACCTGAGACACGTCACTTGCTGGAGTCCTACTTTGATGGACCTAGTAAGATAGCTTGGCTGGGATCTCCTCTTTGGTGAGCCATAAGGGAAAAGGGTTTGGGGTGGGGGCTCATGTTAGGGAAAAAGCTGCTTTTGTAATAGAGATATTACAGAAGCTTTTGGACTACCCTGTCTGCAGACTTCATATTTCTTGCCCGGCATCATAGGCTTATCAGCAGTGGGGAAGAGGCTTGCAGGTAAAATTTGTTGAAGGTGGCACTTCCTAAATAAGGCAGCCTATTTATCTGTTCAGTTTCTTGGCTCAAAAGAGAAGAGAACTAATCCAGCGACCTGTTAAAATAAATTAGCAGGAACTTCTGCTGACATGACTGAATTAGATGAGCAGGAAGCGATAGGGGACATAATCAGGTATTTTTCCTAAGTAGGTTTATAGATGTGGGGAACGAAAAGCTAACAAAGTTAAAGCTTAATAGTGGTTTGCCCCATTTAATATGCAGTTTTTTGAATGCCTTGTATTTTTTTTATTTGAAATGGGACATGAAAAGGGATGAAACATAAATATGGAAAATGTGCAGTAAATCAACTTCTATACTTCTTCTGCCATATGCCAAAGATAGGGCGTGGAGCTTGGGTTGAAGGCATATGGAAAAGTGAAAGTATGTGATTGAGAATACTGAAAAAGTGGAGAACATCTGGCGCTTCTGGAAGTGTTTGGTTTACTTTCTGTTGTTAATTGCCATGTTTCTCCTAAGAGAAAGAGCAGCTGAGCTGTTGCTGCAGTCAATAATCTCTCAGATGTGAGCTGCAGGTTGGCTGTCATTACATCTGAGTACTGTCAGTCGGGAGCAAAGGGAGAGCTATTGACCCTTGTTGTCTTACACATTCCTGTGGCAGAAGGCTCTGGAGAAAACACTGAGTGGGAGGAGTAGATTACTTTTATCAGAATAATCATCTGATCCCAGTGGTTTTCTTGTCAAGACTGCTAGAAAAGTAAATCCATAAGAGCAAACCATGGGGAAGACAAATTCACGTTTGTAGCCAGAAGGTGAACAGTGTTGTGCTGAATACCTCGCAGAAGCAGCATGTCATTTCATCAATATATGGACACCTACGCATTTAATTTAAACTTCTGAAATGTTTACTTGAGCCTTGTTTCCTTTCTCCTCCAGACTTTTGCTTAAATGTTGTGGAGGGTACTCTATGGATGTGCAGTTAAATGGGCTGTTACGTTACCTACCAAGTACTGTGAGGCAGAAAGCTAGATTCTGAAGCTAGACATACGTGCTACAGATCAGTGTTTGTACTGACAGATCACAGTATAATTGGTTAAGTAACTGATTTCTGGTCCAAAGGGAACTTTTTTCCAACTTCCAGTAGCTGTGTTGATAGCATAATTTCTCCAAAGTGTTACTTACTTTGATGCCTCTTATACCTGTAGTGCAGATAAATTTCTTAATGTTTTACTTGATTTCTGTATCATGGCTGAGGCTACAGAGGACGTTCTGGAGTGGCAGGTTAAGCAGTTAAATAAAGTCTTATGCTTGTGGCTGCCTGGTAGATTACAGGACAAGAGATGTGGCTAGTAACCCTTGGAGAATGTGTAATGAAGTCTGAAGTGTTTGTGCTGTAGGTAAGAGGAGGAAAAGGAACAGATCCCAGAAGTGTTGAGGGTAGTCTAGTCTTAAGCAGTTTTAAAAGCAGGTTCTGCCTTTATGGCAAAATGTTGCTCCTGGGTATATTGCTTGTTAGGTGTGTATTTAAGGATCCTTGGTGCTATAATCTATGAGCCTTAATGAAGAGGACTTCCTTTTTTTTTTTTTCCCCCTCCTTTTTCCCTTTTTAGACAGTTTAATTGAAATAAAAATGGGTTCATCTTTTCTCAACCTTCTTTATCCTGCCTCCTAGCTTTGACATCTTTGACCTGTTCAGCTATGCTTTTAACCTGTAACATGACTGAAGGTGTTAAAGTTTTAGCTGTTAGAGATTAATGGATATGTCTACACTGAGGAAAAAAAAAAATTAGTTACTTTTTACTTGTGTAAAAAATATTGTGTTAGTGCATCTCGTAACAAAAAGTGGTGATTTTTGAGGTTTTTAATCATGGCTGACACTATGTCAGTCATGGTGGATTTACTAGTGAAGGCTACTTAGGGTTCCTTGTGAGATTTTAGTTTTCATCCTTTCCTAAAGTACAAGAATCAGGAATGTTTGTTTGAAAGTTACCGGCTTTTAAAACCATTGATTATACCATAAAACTTTCTGTAATTAATTTTCATTAAATAAGGTTAAGATTGCAATTAGGACAGTTTACTAAAAATGGTTGTTACGTATGGGTTACAAGAAATAAAAGTTTCTCTTACCATCGAGGTGTGTAGGAGAAGCTTAACACAGGATAGGAAGCAGTTTTCCTCATGGAGCGGGCTATGACTTTTATCATCTCCTGAGAATCAGCAAAAGTAACTATTTCCAGAGACTACAGAGTTGATACGCTGGGTCAGGTTTATGATCTGTAATATCTCTTCTTCCTAACCCTGCATCCCATCATAGTTTGGCTTGTGAGACAAAGATTTATGGAAGACAGTCCTGTTTATTTGTAACTTAAATACATAGTAATCCTTATAAAAAGGGTGTCTGGATTTATTGAGGTCCCATATGTGGTGGGAGTAGTGATTATAGCTCTGCTTCAATTTTTGAAGCAGGCTTTCTTTGGTTCCTTCGCACTCCGTGTTATTTGTGTTGACCTTCAGGGTTAGGAGCTGAAAGTTAGTGTTGCCATGTATAACATTCAGTTTTTGTCATCAGCTAGTTTGAAAACACTAGCAGTGGAGGGGATGTGAACGGAAGTTGCAGGAGACTTTGCAGCTGATGTGCAGCTGCACTGTAGGAAGGTAAGACTGAGCATTCTTTGGCAGTAGGAGGTGACTGGACTGTCAGGGCATGGTGGCAGTGTATGGAAGGAACTCTCCCCAACAAGTCAGAGAGGCTTGTAAATTGTGAGAACTCATGGATGACATGCAAACATGCTCATTTAGGGTCATGTCATGCAACTTCAGTGTGGCTGCAAGGACAAGTCTTTGAATAGAAACAGGTCACTAACATGTGATTCCTGGTGTCCAGTGTATGTTGTCTGCTATATCAGATAAGAGTGGTTTAAGCTTTTGTCAGACTGCTCTGTATTTTCTTTATTGTAAGCAGTTGGTGGTTGGTGAAACTTTATATAGATTATTTAGTCGCTATCAGGCAGTTAACAGGGCATATCTCAATAATTGAAAGATAACCATCCTCTCTGATCTGAAAAGTTGCCTAGCAGTCTTTGTGTAGCTTAAGAGCCATATTGCATGCTTTAGAGAGCTGGGGGAGGGAACAGACTTTCAGAGTTATTTGGAGGTAGCTGTTCCTCAAGGGAAGGACACAGTTTGACTTGTGAGAAAGTCCAAGGGTGACTTGGCAGTGTCAGCCTTAGCATCCCCTTCTGTCTGCGTTCTGTCTTCTAGCTGTGAATTCAGGTCACTGAGTGCTCCTCGGGCAAGCACAGTCCTGATGCTAGGTATTTGGTGTAGCTATGGCATGGGAGCCACAAGTTAAGCAGCTTGAGAGCTGCAGGCCTGTCACCTCTGACCTAGATATTATAGTGATGACTGTTCTGCAAATACCTGAGCAAAAACCTGTCTAAACAATGAAATGTTTTGATAAGTTAATTATTTTGTGTGTAACAAATCCTGGTTGCCATCTTTCAAGTTTGAAAGTGTTCTGAGTTGAAAATTACTGCTGCTAGGATTCTTTTAAACGTTAACACAAATTGGATTGACTTTCAGGATACTAATACTGTGTGATTGTGTTTGAAAACAGGTCGAATATTTCTATCAGTCAGGGTATTTTGGAGCCAACTCATGCTGTATGGATATATAAATATACATATTCATGTATATGTATATAAAATGTAGTGATGTTTTCAGTACTGGCACTAGCAGTGACTTGCAAAACTTCATTTTGTGTTTTAGAACTAGATCATACTTCTAAGTCCTAATCTTTTTTATTTTTTTATTTTTTAGGTAAAAGTTTTGTTTGTACGCAATCTTGCCAATACTGTAACAGAGGAGATACTAGAAAAGGCCTTCAGTCAATTTGGAAAGCTAGAGCGAGTGAAGAAGCTAAAAGACTATGCTTTCATTCATTTTGATGAACGGGATGGTGCTGTAAAGGTAAGTGAAGAGGACTGTAACTGTGTATGTAAGTAGTGACTACTCATAACATTTAGAAGATATATATGTCTCTCAACTTAAGGAAAAGGTCTGTCTGGAGAACTGGTAACATGCTGTCACTGTAATTGTGTCCTCTCTGGGAGTCTCCTAGGAAGATGCAGTTGCAAGCTTGAAGAGTGGATCTTAGATCCACCTATCCAAAGTAATTCTGCTGATGAGTGTCTAAGATAATCATTGTGTATTGTTTGAAACTGGAGTGCCAGAAATGAATGACTCTTTTCAACAAATTATTGGTAGAATCTAAAGCAGTTTCTCTGGGGAAGATGATAAAACCTCTGTATTTTCCAGGAACATAATTACTTTTTTATGGTGTGGAATAAGCACCTTTTCTTTTGATGAGAGGTGCTGGACAATTGAGTAATTGTCATTCCTGGATTTTGCTAGACTGGTCTTGGTGTTTTTTCTCCTGTCATCTGTCATTAGGAAGGGAAAGTGTAATTCCTCACCTGCCTATAGTGTATCTACTTTTTTATGTTCTGTGGGAGGATGCAGGATACCAGGAGATTCAGTTTTTCTTACTCATCCAGATGCCTTATAGCAGATGCTTAGGAAAATGGAGTCTTTTCATAGGATATGTATCCCCATCAAGGCTTAGTTGTGTAGAGTTCCTAAAAGTGGTATAATCTTTAGGATTACCCTGCTTGAACTGAACTTGTAGCAATTACTGTGACCCATGGTAGTCGTGCATGTGTTCGTGGGGTTTATTTTGGGTTTGGGTGGTTTTTTTTTTTGTGTGTGTGGTCAGAATGAGACTGTTAAATTCTTATTTTTGGCTTCTGGTTTGAAAAGAAAGTTTCGTTTATTACAAGTGAAATAAAGGAATAAAAACATATACTGATCTCTAGCTGTAGTAGTGTTTGCATGTGTGCTGACATTAGAAATTTATTACCTCCAAAATCTGTACTCTCAGAGGACAGTTTCACCACTGCATTAATCGAAACAGCTCGCAAAGATTGAAGCGTATTTACAGTTTTGAGTGGAAGATTTCTAAACCGATACATGCAATCTTGGGTTTGACAGCCAAGTTAAGAGGAAATGCATAACTCTGGAACCCACAATACTATGCTGTCTGATTATTTTAAAAAAAAATAATAAATTCTAGCTTTGCATGGTTATTTTAGCTCTGGATAACAAATTTTAAAATAATGTGTGCTCTAAAAGATAGAATAAAATTAATAACTTCAGATATGCTTAGAAGTATATTTAAAGTCTGGTTAATTCCTTTAGGCAATGGAAGAAATGAATGGCAAAGATTTAGAGGGAGAAAACATTGAAATTGTTTTTGCTAAGCCACCAGATCAAAAAAGGAAAGAACGGAAAGCTCAGAGACAAGCGGCTAAAAATCAGATGTAAGTGTAAATGCATGCACATATGTTGTATTACTTCTGAAAGACATGTACACTCCTACAGAATTAGAACTTCTGGGTATTTTAGTAGGTGTATTATAGTGTACATAGGTTTTCTGGCTTCTCTGAAATTTTTGGATTAATTTATGTTGTTTCCTTTTAAACTTAAGACTTAGTAGTGGTGTTGGTGAGAATTCAGGTAACTGTTTTGCTGTGCTCATTGGGTGTGAGAGCACCAGAGGAAATGTTTGAAGGTCATGAAACGTACACACCACTTTTTCTTCTAAACTTTCGTGTACTTCTGCACTGATATGTCATGTGGATGAACTTAGCACCATGTGCTCCTCCCAGCTGGCTTAGCAGTACTGGTACAGCCCTCCCCCTTTATAGTAAAGTAACCACTGAAACGAGGATCCTGACATTCTTTTTTCCCACTTCCAGAAGACAGATCTGCTTATGAAGCTTGTAAACTCATACTAAGAGATACCTTGCACTAATAAATGCTGAATATCGCAAAAAAAAAAAAAGGCGGCATTTCTTGGTATTGTGTTCTGCTTAACGTTCTCATGTGTTTTTCTTCTTGGATATCTTGTAGCTTTCCTAACCATCTTCCCTCCCCCACCTTATTTCCAAAAATAACTTCTGCTAGTGCTGCTGTGCAGCATCCAAGAAGACAGAATAGTGAGGTTACCGGATTAATACAGATCTCCAGATGGTGACCTACTGTACACATGGAATTGGTTAAGTTTGCCCTGCTTATAGTTCTCGTAACTTTCTTGGCCCTTTTGTTCTTCTTTCTTGGGCATCTGGTGTTACTGTAAGAAGTAGATTTCTTCTTTTTTCTTTTGCTTCTCTTCTGTGCCAGGCAGGCCTTTTCTCTTCTGCTTAAATCTTTTGGTGATACAACTTTATTTCTTTCTGTGTATTCTGTATCTTGGCAACACCACCAAAAATACCTGTTAATTAAATTAAGTTATAAAATGTATAAAGTTGCACAACTTACCCCTCAATGCAGGCAGTTGTCTGCATGGTTGTGTTGTCTCTGGTTGGAGATAATGCTTTTTCTCATTGAATTTGAGTAATGCCAAAAAAACATTATCATACTGCAGTATACAGTTTTGCTAGCTTGGTATTCAGGGTCTAATAATGGCTGGTTTCCAGTGATGAAAAGGAAGATTTTCTTAAAATGCACTTCATCAGTCATAATGCTGTGTGATTTATTTTTTTTTCCCCCCACCCCCCAACTGTTCTCTGCAGATTATCTGAGACCCAGATTTATTACTTCTGGATAGCATGCATGTATTTATAACACTGGAAATCTTCTGGCATGTGTCACTTCTAATGTTAATATGCTGTATGTTATCTGCATCCCCTCCCCTTTTATTATTTAAGATGCACATGTCTCATTTTGTGGAGGTAGGTAAAGTAGGGCTGCCTCTCTTGCTCTTCTAGTCAGAGGTACAGTAGTGCCACTTAATTCAGTTCCTCTTTCTGGTTCTTTCATTTGGGAATTCTCTGTGTACCTTTATTTTTCTGAACTGTTAAGATAGTAGAAAGGGAGCTAGCTTGATTAAACTCTAGGCATGTTTAGGTTTTGAGTGTACTGTTCATCAGTGACTTGTAAGGGCTTTTAATTTTCTTAGTATTCCAAAAGATGAGGGAATAGAAGGATATGTGTATTATTAAGTTTGTATCCTCGTTATTTGAGAAGTTTGGAGTGACATCTTAAGATCTTAGAGGTAATATGTAGTTTGTACTATATTTACAGTTGTAAAAAAAGCTTTTCTGGAAGCTTCCATATAACTATAGATTGATTTTGATTTGTGTATTAATATAGTTAGTCATCTTACCTGCTTGCATAAAAGTGACTATTTAATCAGTAAGAAGCATTTTACGTTGTGCCTTTGCTGTTTGAAACGACTTGTGGCTGTCAGGAGTAGCATTCTTAGTCTGTGTAAGTTACTTTGCTTTTTAGCACATCTGTTTGAGTTCTGTTAGCCACGTAAAACTATATGTGAGGAAAAAACCAAACTTGAATATGTAGATAAAAGGGTAAAATGTTTGTGATCATTATGAAGCTGTCTCCATCTGAAATTTGAATAGAAGGGATGAGAAGACTTGACAGTGGAGACCTCATTAGAAAGTGCATGTAAAGTCACAGCAGTGTCAGAGCAGTTGAGCTACTAGTTGTATGCTTTCATAGAATCTGGCTTTTAGAGAGCTAAGGCAGTTAGATCTCCAGAACAATCGTGGGCTTAGGATG